TAAAAATGATAATATCAATTCATCACAATTCTTTCTTTCTTCTGCTGACTCCCAGCAGAACTGATCATTTTATTCTTTTCCCTAGCTGCAGCATTATATCTATAGGAATGTTCTCTTTCATAAAGATCTGTAAACAGATGAGAAAATTTCTTTTAAATTCTGTGGTAGAAGTTTCTTCATCCAAGAATACTTGCAATTACATTGAATGAATTTTGAGGATGGTGAAATAATAATTCTATGGTTTTAAGCCCAAAATGTGGCAATATTTGGATGTTTCTGGTTTATATCATAATAATCCAACTTCTAAATTATATTTTTAATAGCAAGGTAACTGTAACCAACCTATATTAAATTCTTTGAAGTTTATAATATAAATAAAATGGAATTTTCAGTTATATTAACCTTCTTTTAAGATCAAAAGAAACTAATTTCATATTCATTAAAACAGCTTTGCATTGGAATAGGAAAACAGGAAAATCAACCTTTTTATTCCAAACTTTTCATAAATAGTTAATATAAATTTTATTATCTTTTTTCAATTCCTTATAAAAATAGGTTCCTATTCCTAGCAGCCTGATTCTACCAAATTTTATAACAACTGGATAACTTCAAATTACCTGATGTCAAGGCCATAATTGAAAACAATATGAGTTTAAGCTAAATATCCTGTTAGGAAGCACTCAGGTAACACCAAGAGTATGTTTAAGTGATAGCTGAGCTATTAAATTAATGACTATTTTTCAATTGGTAAGACTTATATGAATGTATGACATCAGTATATGCATTATATCTTACGTTTTGCATCATAGGAGATTAAAGTTAGAACAGTATATGCATTCCCTTGTTGGGAATAATTTGAAAATTACACCGATTACACTGAAGTGATCTCTTCCCTTTTGTAGGATGAATTAGGTGCTTATAGATATTTTGCATTTATGTGTCATGTTGCGTGTTACGGAAATATGTGTCATCCAAGTCTTTTCTGCACCTGATCATTTAAGCTTTATAGATTTTTGACAGCTGACATCTCAGTTATCTTGAAGGTCACCAGAGAGCTGTAAAAATGGAATATTTGTGATGCAAAACATTGAACTTTTTTGAAGATAGTACATAACTAAATCTGAAACACTGGTTGGATTTAGATAATCATTATATATTAATTTTGTATTGTTTAAATTGTTTTTAATTTGTTTTTAATTTTAGATTTATGTTGCCCACGTTAGAAATCAAATAAATAAATATTAACAATAGCATTCCACAGTGTATGTAGAATTCTATATATTCATATCTAAGGTGACCAGATTTTCAGATTAGTAAAGAGGGACACCATTGACCGGGGGGGAGGGGCTTGATTAAAAGTTTCATATTTGTCAAAAGGTCACACAAGGCGATTATATGACCCCAGGACACTGAAACCATCANTATAATTTATCAGGAGATGCATGAATTAAGGAACAATAATTCCATGTTGACAACAAAATGGTTTCCATGATACATTTTCCACTGGAATGAATTTTTTTAGAGTTATTTCAGAAACTAGTCATATAAAGTAGCCTCTTCAGGATAGTTGGAGCATTCATTCATGATTTAGGTATGTATGTTTATCAGAAAATATTATTATTTATTTTAAATTTCTATTTTTAGCACCAAAACCAGATTTCAGATAAACCTTCATGTTATCAATTCTTCCACTGGTAAATTGCTGCAAGGAATTTTATGTGAGTTTAGTGAGTTTAAATTGCTGCAAGGAGTTTAAGTGATTTCATTTACAAGCTGAACCAATCCTATAAAGAGGTAAAGAGGTATTTGTAATTCTAGTCTCAGTTAAATATAAGGAAATAGACACTGCCATACAAACTCAAAATAGGCAACCTTTTGGAACTGAGAACACACAATTTTTAAATTGTTAGCTCAGGTCCACAGTTAGTTTTCTCTTCTTGAAATAGATTCACAGAGAGGAACAATGTATCCCATTGGTGGATTGTTTTGAAAGGACTAATTCTTTTCTGCAACGATTATTTGAAAGAAATGCTTTTCTTCAGCAAGACTTTCTATTCTTTCTTTTAAAGAAAATATCCAGTGTTTTTCCTCTGTATTTCTTACATCAACACATTTTATAAGTATATATTTTATTTAAATATTGTGGTATATATTAATAATGAGCACAGATTCAACAAGAACAAAAATTTTAAGAAGAGATTGGACAATCATTGTCTGAAATAGTATAGGGTTTTTTGCTTGAGCAGGAGGTTGGATTAGAAGATCTCTAAGTACCTTCAAATTTTGTTATTTTGTTATCAAGGGTGTGGTTCTGAGGATTTTCCCTAATGTAGATCTTATCACCAAGCTAAAGAAAGAAAGAAAATTCTTTAGGTAGAGGAAAAATGGTATTTACGCATTTCTCCTTAGTGCAAGAGGAATACTGTGTGGTCCTTACTCTGATACTGTAAAGTCAAAAAGTGNCATTCCACGCATGCTGTCAGCTGGAGTCAGATCTCAGATTACTGCAGCCAGCTTCTTCCCTTCTTGCCCGAAGAGTAAGAAACCTGTTAGACGTCTGATAGACGATCATCTAAACAGATGACGTGACCAGGAACTCGGGAGCAGCTATGTTAAGCTGCTTCCATCAGTAAGCCTCGCCCAGGAAGCCCCAGAATTCATACATTCTTTTGAAACGTGGGATTTAGTAACATCAGAATATTCTTGTAAATAGCCATAAATAAAATCACTTGAGAGTAATTTCTTTGTGTGATTAATTATGCTTTACTAATTGATTTGCTTTCTTAATTTTAATGTAAATAAAATATCTCTTTCAGATCATAGTTATGTTTTTTTATATATATAAGCTGGTGTGACAGACCTGAAAACAGACTATAGGTTGTCCTTGATTTATAACCATTCATTTAATGACTATTCAAAAATGTCAATGTAAAAAGAGTGATTTATAACCATTGCAGCATCCCAGCAGTCATGGGATCAAAACTGAGGCATTTGACAACTGGCATATACTTACGATGGTTATAGCAACCTGGAGTTTCATGATTGCCTTTCCACTTTTGACAACCAAAGTCTATGGGGGAAGTGGGATTCCCTTAAAGACCAGGGTGAAAAAGATCATAAAATTGGATGCAACCCACTTAACTACAATGTTGCTTAGCGACAGAAGTCCCATTCTTGATCATAAGTTGAAAACTACCTGTGTCTATTTTTTCCACTGATTTTGTCAGTCAAACACAATAAAATGCAAAGTTTTAATATATTAACCCTGGGATTCCTCATTATAGGATTACATTAAAAATCATTTTGCTATTGTAGTCTGTGTTTTGTGAGATTCACCCCTGCTTCTCTAATGGAATGACTAATTGGGAGCCATTGTGGCAACCTTGTGGATTTTGAATATAAAGAAAAATGTAAACATTTAGTTCTTTTCCATCCAAACTTGTACTTTTCAGTTTTTAACTCTTTCAATAAAAATCTGATTAAGCATTATTTGGGGTGTATGTCTAACAAAAGGATATTTAACTTGCCCTAGTTATGCATACAACAAAGAAAAAAAACTATTTTTGAAAGAAACAAAATTCAAATATCTTCAAATACTCTAATATATTGTTTTATTTTTGGAATTAATATTAATACATCTTTATTTTCTCTTGAATTATTTTTCAAAAGTACTTCTGTTTTACAACTCCTCCAAAATAAAATGGTGGGGCACCTTTTACCCTAATTTTTTAATAGCTAGGGATAGAGTGCAATTGATAATGTAAGACAAAATTGTCCTCTGAAAGACTTACAAAGGAGGAACATTGCTAAAGAATCTTAGAACAAGAGGAAGCTGTTCACATTTATTTATAGAAAGAGTTTTATTTTCTTTCATTATGCAGAACAAAGAATTTGTTTGCCGAGGACATGATTATGAGCGTCTCGAGGCTTTTCAACAGCGGATGTTAAATGAGTTTCCACATGCCATTGCTATGCAACATGCCAATCAACCGGATGAAACCATCTTTCAAGCAGAGGCACAGTGTATCCCTATTATTGTTTTAAAGCCATTCATGTTAATGTCTACTAGTTTAACTTTAAATGGAGCAGTGTGTCTAAAATCCACTTTTAAACTCCACTGTACAGATCTGGATTTATTTTAAAAGTAGTAATGGAAAAAGGAAATTAAATATACTGATAGCAGATCCAAAAGCTATGTCATGGACTAGACTTAGTTACAGAAGCAATGGATGCACTATTGGATGGCCAAACCTAAAAGATCAGGTTATGGATAGATTGTAATGCAGGGTATCTATGTGCTATCTAGGAGATGAAAATTACTTGATGGGACATAATCATTTGTCAACATAATCATGCTAACAGAAAAATGGACTAAAAGAAAAGAGGGAAAATAATAGTAACAAAAATATTTAGTTGAATTACAGGTTTCCTTTTGATTAAAATGAAAACTCAAGGTGTTGTATCTTATGATTCTTTATGAATGTATTTTATTTTTCTTTATGTACACTGAGAGGATATGCACCAAAGACAAATTCCTTGTGTTCACAGCCACACTTGGCCAATAAAGAAGTCTATTCTATTCTATCTATTTAAAAAATAAAAAAATGGAGTATATACAAAAAAGTAATCTTATCATTGAACTTTAAGTGCTTGGCTAATGATTGAATATTGTCCTAATGGATATTCTAAAACAGAAAGAAAATAGGTTGCATAGAACTCTTAAGATAAAGGATAATGTGTCTGGCAGGTTCCTTTCTGAAGCTCTTTGTTTGTGGTCAGGTGCATAGTAATAGTAATTCTTTCTTTCACAGTATGAGTCAAGGGGTCCTAGTCCGTTATGTAGAGAACAATGGGACTGAAATATTAGGCAAACTCATATTTTGTTTTGTTTTGTTTCCTCTGGCAAATTCCAAATCAGAAAAGAAGTATTGCTTGTTTAACCATTATGCACTTTACCTTGCTTTCTTTCCTCTAGCAAATGCATCCTCTTCTGTTTACTTAGTACTTAACATTTTATATATAGATCTGCAAATCTATGCTGTGACCCCAATTCCTGAGAGCCAGGATGTCCTGCAAAGAGAAGGCATTCCAGATAATATCAAAAGTTTTTATAAAGTAAATCATATTTGGCGATTCCGATATGACAGGCCATTTCACAAAGGGACCAAAGACAAAGATAACGAATTCAAGGTATATTATCATTCCAATTCTCATTAACAAATATTTGATTCATTTTATGGTTTCCCAGAAGAATTCATAGAATTAAAAAGTAAAACTAGATGACTCATTGGGGTTTGTTATATGTTAAATACATATTTTTATTTTCCTGTTATTTCAGAAAATGAAAATTCGTTTTCTTCACATCATATAGAGGGAATTAAGATATGCCACATTTACATGACATAGATAGGGTGCGAAATTGGGGTTTTTGTGAATACAAATCATTCCTAATAATGCCATATGCCATATCTAAAGAAACTTATATGGAAATGAGAGATAGTGATGAGGATTGATAGCACTGATTAAGAAAGAAAAGGAACCTGGGTACCCAGCAAAGATGAAAGGTTTAAAGCTAAATTATCAAACAAGGACAGAGGCACACCGTTCTGTCAAACTGACTAGCACCAGGGTTATTTAGAGCAATGGCCCCCATCCTTTTGGCACCAGGGACCGGTTCCGTGGAGAGAGGTTCTTCCACAGGCTGGAGAGGATGTGATTTCATGTGCTGCCTACATTCCATGGATGGGGCTTCACTTGTTTGCACAGCCCAGTTTCTGGCATGCCACAGACTGATGACGGTCCACGGACTGGGGATTGGGGATCTCTGATCTAGAGCAGGGGTCAGCAGCCCACGGCTCTGGAGCCGCATGTGGCTCTTTCATCCCTCTGCTGTGGCTCCCTGTCACCTCTGGTCGGCTCCACAATTGAAAGGGCTTTCGATTAGGACAGGTGGAGGAAAAAGGACACCATGCTAGGAGGAGACTATAGTGGGGGAAACAGACTTCCCATTGGCAGAGGAAAAAGGACGCTGCACTAGGAGGAGGCTCTAATGTGGGGGAACCAGACTTCCAGTCAGCTCCAGAATTAAATGGGGGGCTTTTGGTTAGGACCTTTGTGGCTCTTTGAGTGTTTAAAGTTGCTGACTCCGAGACTTTTGAGTTGCTGCCAAGAAAGTTACTATCCTGTTTTATTTAAATAAACTGATAAATATTCCCTCTACCTCTTTAGCATTCAAAATTAAATACATAAACTGTTGTAGATAGTTCCTTCTGCCTCACTCCAGAAATAGAATATGTAACTGGCATTTTATTTTTTATTTCAGAGTTTATGGGTAGAGAGAACAACACTGATCTTGGTACAGAGTTTGCCAGGAATTTCCCGATGGTTTGAAGTGGAGAAACGTGAAATTGTGAGTACAAGCTGGGAAAAATAGGTGACCCTCCACCATTACCATAGAATATTAGATGCCAAATATATTTTGCATGCTGCTTTAAATTGCTTACATTAGAATAAAAAATAGCAAATAACAATAAAGCCCAAGTCTGATTTTGAACTTTTCTAAGAAGTCAGAGAGAAAAGGAAAGGAAGAAATTTGTTTATACAATTATTAGTGCTTTAAAACCTGTGTAAAAATGAATTGATAATTACAGTTTTACTACTTGAATATGAAGAGCTATGGCTAAGAAAGTTAGAAATTAATTTAAGTATATTGTACTCCTTTATTATGTTGCTTAATAAATCATACAATATGTGATGGTATATTGAATATGTTGCTCTAATTTCTGAATACCAAAATATTCTCATACTATCTCTAGTGCTAAAATTGTCCAGTAACTTTTTTTCAGAATCATCCTTAATCATAGAATAAGTGCATATTCTTACATTATTCTTTCCTGGTCTTTAGGATTCCTATTTAAGGCATTTATTTAATAATAATCACTCATTTAGAAGTGTGATGAATTGGCACTTGAATTGTAACTATATATATATATATATTCGTAGATTTTCATGGGTGTTGGTATGCTGGTCTTGTTGTGTCCGGGTCTTTTCCTGTGTAAGATTGAGATTGTCTTGGCAACATTTCTGCAAGGTCTCACTCGCCATCTTCTGGCTGGGTTTTGGGCTTAAAGCGTGGTCGGAGCTGTCACCTTTCTATAAATCTTGATGGGAGGGTATGGAGTGCTGGCTTTGTTTCAGTAAGTGGAATGATTGGTTGTGTGGTTGTATCATGATTAGTAGATTGATGCTGATTGGTGCTGGCTGTGTATCTATTGTTGTTTCGTGTTGTAACGGCCTGGGTGGTGGGTGGGGCTCATTTGTTGACTAGGGCTGGTTTCCAGATGCCTGGTAGGCGGGAGGTATCATCATGTTTATTCATGTTGTGGGGGTGTTTCTCTATTTCGATAGCTTCCATAATTATTCTCTTGTTGAAGTGTTCAGTTTTGGAGATTAACCTGGGTCCTTCAAAATTAATTTCATGTCCTGTAGCTTTAAGGTGCTGGAAAAGGGAAAACTTCCTCCCGAATACAATAAGACCAGCATACCTACACCTGTGAAAATCTACGAAAACTCACGTTTTGTGTATGTTAAATATGGGGTGGAATGGGATTTAATTTATTATTTAGATTTTGGATACAGTATGTTGCCCAGAGTCCCTTGTTTGAGTTGATTGGCTTTATAAATCTAGTAATTAAATGCAGTAAATAAATAAATCAGCCAAATGTTATAAATGTTATAAATAAAAATACAAATTAATAAATGGCTTGTTCATCAAATGAGGTTAAAATGAACTGTGTTCTTCCTGTGATATATGAATGCAGTTAAGATTTCAAAGCTATCTCCCTATTTCTAGTTCTATGTAATGTTCATTTGCTTACATACAGTAGAAACTAAAGCGTGAACTTTTCCAAAATTGGATTTATATGCTCCACTTAAAATTTATTGATATCATTGGAACTGACTTGTGAACAATTTATTCAGAAAAGGAAAAAAACACAATAGCGTAATTATAAAAACTATAAAAAATACCAGAATTTATAGAATTTAATAATAGTATTTTCAATATGAAAATCTCAGAATGATAGACTATGAAATAGCTTGAAAATCACCATATATTATTGTGACTTTCGGGTGCAAATCAGCTTTCCTTATTTTTATTTTTGCCATTTTTGTTAACAACGTGTAGGTGGAAATGAGCCCATTGGAGAATGCTATTGAAGTATTGGAAAATAAAAACCAGCAATTAAGGACATTGATCAGTCAGTGCAAGACTCGACAGATGCAGAATATCAATCCACTTACAATGTGTTTGAATGGTGTAATTGATGCAGCAGTTAATGGGGGAGTTGCCAGGTATCAAGAAGTAAGTGTCATTCCATATGTGTTGGGGTTAGGTTGCATTCTTGTTTCAGTATCTGAAATACTAGTTGCTATGGAGCAATAATAGAAAAGTGTTGTAGCTCTATAGCTTGAGCTTTCAGTTGTCCATTAGGTTCTATAGAATACTATATTATTAAGTATTATATGGGTCTTCAATAAGATAATAAGTTCTCTTATTCTCCCAATTCACTAAATCTAATTTAGATAAATGCTATTTTTATTTAAATTTATTGTTATATTAACTACAAATATTTAAAATCTGAATGACTAAATATTTCAATTGATTTTCAAATCTGCAATATTTATTATACAGGTAGCCTTTAACAATCCCAAGGGGGAGTTGGAATCTCACTCATTGAGTGAAGCGATCATTAAGTGAGATGCCAATGTGACTGTTTTGCTCAATGATTGCAATCCTGGCACTCCTGATTGCAGTTATTAAGTAATCTTCTTGGTCAGGAAAAGCTGCCTGCTAAAACATTTCAACTGCACACAAAGCTGAAATCCTGCTTGGACACAGCTCTGAGATCGAAAGATCTGCCTGCTGGGGATTTCAGTCCCTACAAAATCGCCTTTTGCTCTCAAATATTCCTGCAGCCCACCCACCCCCTGCCTATGCATGGAGAGAAATATTTTGTGGGGCAGTCAGAACAGAGCTGAAATTTGAAGATTTAGTTCCATTCCTGTAACCCCTCAAAATATTTGAACTCACCTCCATACCCTCTGCTGCAACATCCCTGCTGACTTCTCCATTGACTTTTTGAGGAAGTCAGCAACGAAGATTGCAAATGGTGATCACAGATCATTGGGGTGGGGTTGGGGGTGGAGGCTTAGCAATATCGTAAGTGTAGATCACCGAGCACCCAGAACATGATCCTCTGACGGTGGAGGATGGTGCAATGTTTTTGCAATGCTTAGAAGTGCTTTATAGGCCACAGAGCACTCTTTTCAAAGTTGTTGTTAATTTGATTCATCATTAAATGAGAACTGCCTTTATGCTTTTTAATTCTTTCTTTAAGAGGCTCGGAACAAGTACACTATATTATGCTTCTGTTTCCCCATCATTATTATCAAAACAACTCTGAGAGCATTAGACTGAGGAAGTTGTGAATTTCTATGTCTAAGATTTGAATATTTTTCTATCTAGTATAGTATTCTGATTATTACACTATACTTTTGTTACTATTGTTTTAGCTTTTTCTGTTTGTAAAATAACATTGTGAGAATACATTTTTCCTATGTCATTATGTGATGTAGTATGTTGTGTGCATTGGCAACATTTACTTTTTATTTTTATTTATATGCCATCTTTATTATTTCTACAAATTACTCAATGTGAACATAAACTGGAGGACAAAGTGGAGCTCTCGTCTTCTGGTAGATAAATATCAATTTCTGCTATGGATATGGGCCCATGAATTTGCAGTTCTATTGAATGAAAGAGTGCAGAGACAAGCAACAAACATGATTCAGGACTGGAGGTTAAACATATGAAGAACAATTGTATGAATTAGATATGTCTAATGAAAACAAGGAATAGAGGTGACATGATAGCAATTCCGATATTTAAGGGGGGATCAATCTAAAGGCAAGACAAAAAGCAATGCATGGAAACTAATTAAGCAGAGAACCAATCTAGAACTAAGGATAAATTTCCTGACAGAACAATTAGTCAGTGGAACAATTTGCCTCCAGAAGTTGTGGTTGCTCCAGCACTAGAGGTTTTTAAGAAGAGATTGGACAACCATAATGGTAAGGTTTCTTGCTTGAGCATCGGGTTGGACACATAGATATCCAAGGTCCCTTCCAACTCTGTTATTCTGGTATTCTGTTATTTTAAAAGTGCATTGATTTTGAGAATTCCAAAATGTGAAAGTCTTCCCATTTGATGTAGGTTACCATATTTAACTGTTCACTATTTTATCAATGTATACATTTTATCAATTCATGATATATAACTATGATGTAAGAGACCTGTAGCTAGATTTCCTATCTGTCAAAATAGATCATAAAATATGATTCCATGTAATTTAATAAGAATGTTTGAAGATTTTTTCATAATTCAAGTAATTTAAACAGATATTGATAGAACTTAGTGCATCCATAGATGGTATAAATAATAGTCAAGATACTGTTAGAGAAACAGGATTTTTCTATAATACATGTATTATATGTATAACTTTGAAATAACATGGATGACTTTGTGCAATTATTGTATTCTTCTCAGGCATTCTTTGTGAAGGAATATGTTCTGAACCATCCAGAGGATGGAGAAAAGATCACATGCTTAAGAGAACTGATGCTTGAGCAGGTAAAATAAAATTTAAGCAAGCTGCTTTCAATCAATTTTAACAAAGCTGGCAGAGCTAGGAAAAAGCATTACATCATAGCAATTTTCCATTCAGATTCTATTAAGGATTTTTCAAATATTTAGAAGGACTGGACAGGGAAGAGAAAGCATACTAAGAGTTACTGATAACAAGATCTCTTTGACGTTAAGAAGAGGTGGCAAAGAGATAGGATTTTGCTTTCCATATCTGTATGTATCTGTATCTCACTGTATTATAAGGAAATATGAATAAACAGCAAATAAATTCCATCTGGCTTAGTACAAGTAGGAAAGAAGAAATAAAGTTGTGGTATTAAGTAATCCCCAATATTATCCTATAATTTTAATTCTCTCTTCTTTTAAAATTGATAATGAAATATTTAAACTAGAAAATTGTTGGAATTTATTATTGTGTGTGTTAATTTGTGCTGGGTTTCACATGTGGTCATTTTCTTTGTATGGAACTCAGAATAGCCGGTAGCTCTCCTTGAACACTGCTATCAAAAGAGAGGCAACTAAATAAATAGAACTCATAATACAATTAGTCCTTGTTTAATGATCCTAATTGGGACAAGAATTTCCATCACTAAGTGAAGCGGTCATTAGGTGAAAAAGCATGTGATTGCATCAGTTAGCAATAGCAGTTCTGGTATTCCTAGTTGTGGTTGTTAGGTCAGGACCTTCTCATTAGGGTCTAGGACCTTCAGGCCCACACCTCAAGCCACCCACCCCACCCCATTCATAGCCAGCTTTCTTCCTCCATTGGCTCCCCCCCCCCAGTGATTCTGCCTGGCCAATGGGCCTCTGGTCCTTTATCCCTTGCCCTTTGTCTCAGCACATTCGCCAAGACACCATCCTGGGAGTCCTTGGAGTTTCGCACCAAGAGACAAAAAACCGCTAGTCAATCAGCTGGCAGGCAGCAACAATGGGGCTGGGAAGGGTGACTGAGGGGGCTGGAAGGTGGATGCGATGGGTGACAGGTGATGGAAGAGAGCAATGGGGGAAAGGCAGACTAACGTTGCTTGTGTGCAGCTTGTGCTGGTGCTGGGACGAGGAAGCAGGCAAATGCTGTTTGCACGCTGCTCCTGGAGAGCTGGGTAAACACGGATGCTATGGTGTGGGGGAGTGTCAAATGGCATGGCGTGTAATGGTGGGGGGGGGGGGAACTGAATTGCCCATTCTGTGTTAAACCAGAGTCCAGGTGCAGAGACAATGGATGTGAGAGGTCAAATTGGGAAGCCCCCTCCCACTGCTGCCTGTCCTTTGTCTGTGGTGGCACCATTTTCATCCCTGCCATTGCCCCCACACCTGGCCTCCCCCCTGCTCCCGATCCTGCCTGCTTGTTGCCGAACAGGCAGTTTAGCTTCCCTCCCACCATATGCCACCACCTTTACACACACACACAGACACGCGCGCGCACACACATACGCATGCAGCGTTGCCTGCTTCCTCTTCCCAACACCAGCATGAACCATGTGCAGGCAGCATTTGCCTGCACCTCCCCTTCTCTCTTTGGTAACCTGTCACCAATGGCATCCTCCTTCCAGCCCCCTCGGTCACCCTTCCCATCCTTATCTTTGACACTTGCCACCTGATTGACTGGCTACTTTTTGTCCTGTGAAGCAAAACTCCTGGTACAAACAGTGTTCTGGTGAATGGGCCAAGCCAAAGGGCAAGGGGCAAAGGGCCAGAGGCCCATTGGCCAGAGAGAATCACCGGGGGCGGGCAGTAAGGAAGAAAGCTGTGAATGGGCTGAGACGGGTGGCTGGAGGTGACGGAGGTGTGGCAAGGGTGGGAACCTAAAGGTCCCATTCCATCTCATCCTTAGACAAGGAACTCATGCTTCCTTGTAGTACTTGCTTTGGTTTCCACTTCCCTCACCCAGCTATTTCCACCCACTGCCTTTTGGGCTGGCCTATACTCCACTGCCATATACGCCTGCTACAGCACACTTCCCACTACTCCAGCTGACTTTTGTTGTCTTGTTCCTGCTGCTGCTGCGATACACCTAGTCCTTCGGCGGCCTTGGGCGGCTTCAAGGACCCTGTACAAGACCTCCCTGAGGCATAATGAAGGCCGGCAGCTGCCTAGGCCAGGTACACCTTCTCAGCAGTGGGAGGAACAAAGCAGTGAAGGTAAGCAGGGTGCAGGGGCAGGGTGGGCAGGAAGGCCAAAAGAGCAGAGACGGGAGAGATAGGCAAGTGGGGTAGAGTTGAGTGCCTGCAGCTGTTGTAAAGGCAGGTGGACAGCCAATGTTAATCGTGTGGTTGTGGGAGGCAATGTAGTGGCCATAATTTGAGAATCGATCATAGTTATCACTCATTCAGCATCATTGTAACTTTGTATGGTCACTGAATGAATTGTTGTTAAGCAAGGCCTACCTATAATAAAGTTTATGCATTAAAAAGTCTGATATTGTAAGTTTCCAGGGCATGACTAGTCTACTGAAGAGAAAGATCAGGGGAGACATAATAGCAGTGTTACAATATTTGAGGGGCTGCTACAGAGTGGAAAGGGTCAAACTATTTTCCAAAGCACTTGAAGGCCAGACAAGGAATAATGGATGGAAACTGACCAAGGAGAAATTCAACCTAGAAATAAGGAGAAATTTTCTGACAGTGAGAACAATCAACCAATGGAACAGAAGTTGCCTTCAGAAGTTGTGGGAGCTTCATCACTGGAAGCTTTTAAGAAGAGACTGCACTGCCATGTCAGAAATGATGTAGGGTCTCCTGCTTGAGCTGGGTGTTGGTGGACTAACCCACAGGGTTCCTTCCAACTCTATTAATCTAATATGAATCCAGTTTGATTTGTAGCTTATTGTCTTGCCCAAATCAAGCAAACTTTATTGTTAATTTTAACTGTCATATATTTAAAGTGAGATTTGATTAGCAATTGGTCTTGGAAGCTGGCTTGTTTCATCAAAACCTCATACTCTCTTCTTGAAGGGAAAATATAATTAGGGTTCAGATGAAGTACTAATCTTTAATGAATGAATGTCGGACATTAATTGGTTTTTAATCCCATCACTAAATCATGAGTTATCCATATTGTCTCGGCATGAACTGAGTATATAGCATTAATAGTACAAATTTCTGAATTGTATTACTATGTTATTGAACTCTCCCCCCCCCACCTTTCTATGTGTGTATGCCTGTGTGTGTTCAAATATTTTGTTTTGGATTTTGTTCTAAGGCCCAGATTCTTGAATTCGGTTTAGCAGTCCATGAGACGTTTGTCCCACAGGATATGAGACCTTTACATAAAAAACTGGTGGATCAGTTTTTCGTGATGAAATCTAGTTTAGGAATACAGGTATGTGAGATTTATGCTGATAGGTCTTCCAAAGTCAGAATACATTTGAAAACAAATACAGAAATGTCTGCATCTGAAATAACATTTTTATTAAGCAATAAACAGTGACATCTTCTGGCTGCATTGATTTTCTTAAAACCTCATGACTTCAGCTGAGAAATAGATTTAAAAACTAATTAAGAAACACCATCTTAGTTTACTATATTTCATTTTTCCCATAAAATATTCATTTAAGATGTAAATATATCTTTAAAACAGTAATTCTTATTGTCAAATTTGAATTTAGGAATTTGCTGCATGCATCCAGGCTAGTCCAGGTCACTTTCCAAATGGAAGCCCACGTGTCTCTAGAAATTCGGTCCCTATATCCATGAGTCCAGAGGTGGGCAGAATTCCTAGACGTAGGTAAGTTAAAGCTACTAACAAACAAATAAAAAAAGCTTCCTGTGCTTCTAATTTAGGGGCATCTTTTATAAGATGCATAATGGGGAGGGGGTAGTATTCAAAACATTTAAGACAGTTCTGATCTTCTAAAATAATTGTTTTTACCTGCTAAGAGAGTTATGAAGTATTCACAAAAGAATTGGATAGGTCACTGTGATGGAAGGCATAAGGTAGGAGAGAAATTGTATTGCAGAATTTGGAAATACACTATTTTCTTTTGACATCAGGCGGATGTCAAATCAGATGGTTTTGTAACTGGCTGATTAATCGTACTCAATGATTAGTCCTTAATGCTACTACATGTACATGGAGGGAAGTAAGCAGTGGGGTACCATAAGGTTCCATCTTAAGCCCAGTACTTTTCAATATCTTCATAAATGACTTAGATAAGGGAATAGAAGGGGAACTTACCAAATTTGCTTACCAAAAATGCTTGAACATTGGGCCTGATCTAACAAAATGAAATTCAATGTAGAGAAAAGTAAAGTCTTACACTTAGGCAAGAAAAACGAAAAATACACATATAGACTTGGTGAAACCATACTTAATAACAGTAAGTGTGAGAGGGATCTTCGAGTCTTGGTGAACAACCAATTCAATATGAGCTAATAGTGTGTGGCTGCAGCCCAAAAGCCAATGCAATCCTAAATTGCATTAACAGAGGGATACAATCAAGATCAAGTGAGGTACTAATACCACTCTATAAAGCCTTAGTAAGACCACACCTAGAGTACTGCATCAAGTTTTGGTCACCACACTATAAAAAGATGAGACTCTAGAAAGCATGCAGAGAAGAGCAACCAAGATGATTAGGGGACTGGAGACTAAAACATATGAAGAATGGTTTCAGGAACTGGGCATGGCTAGTCTAGTGAAGAGAAGGACCAGGGGAGATAACAGTGATAACAGTGTTCCAATATTTGAGGGGCTGACATAGAGAGGAGGGGGTCAAGCTCTTTTCCAAAGCACCTGAAGGCCAGACAAGGAATAATGGATGGAAACTGATCAAGGAGAGATTCAACCTGGAAAAAAGGAGAAATATTCTGACAGCGAGAACAATCAACCAATGGAACAGAAGTTGCCTTCAGAAGTTGTGGGAGCTTCATCACTGGAAGCTTTCAAGAAGAGACTGGACTGCCATCTGTCAAAAATTTTGTAGGGTCTGCTTGGGTGGAAGGTTGGACTAGATGAACTACAAGATCCCTTCCAACTCTTAATTAACAGATTAATCTGTTAATCTGACATATCAGAAAACATTCTGAAATGAACTAATAATACCCATTCATACATAATCTTTCAAATCAGTTTAAAAATATCAATACAGGTAGCCCTTGACTTTCAACCACTGTTGAACTCAAAATTTCTGTTGCTAACCGAGACAATTGTAAGTGAATTTTGCTCCTTTGTGGCCTTTCTTGCTGCAGTTGTTAAATGAATCACCCCATCTGTTAAATTAATAACACAACTGTTAAGTGAATCTGGCTTCCCCATTGACTTTGCTTGTCAGAAGGTTGCAGAGGGTGATCACATGGCCGTGGGATACTAAAGTTGTCATAAATACGAGTCAGTTGCCAAGTGTCTGAATGTTTATCATATGACCATGGAGATGCTGCAATAGTCCTAAGTATGAAAGATGGTCATATTTCACTTCTTTTAGTGCCATTCTAACTTCAAATGATCACTAAATGAACTGTTGTAAGTTGAGGACTACCTGTATGTGGATGTATATTTTATACATGGGTCCTGTGGAATTAAATTGTTAAAAGTAGGGCATGATAAACTGAAAATAGAATCAGGATTAATGAAATTTGTTCTGTACTTTGCTTGCAACAGTCCATTAAGCTATCCAGCTATCAACAGATATTCTTCCTCATCATTGTCCTCTCAAGCATCTGCAGAGGTCAGCAATATAACTGGACAATCCGAGAGCTCGGATGAAGTTTTCAACATGCAGGTACCAAATGATACTTCATCTGATAAATGTTCATCTTCTAAGGCTTGTTATAGGATGGGAAGTTGTGCGAGAAAGCAGCAAATCCAAAAAGGACCATGAGGATTTGAATTTACTGATAGTTGAAACAATGTAAAGTGTCTATTAACTTGTAAGTTATTATATAATAGCATTATGTTTAAAACAATGCATCTTTAAAATATAGTTCTAGTAACCAAAAACTAATTAATGAATACATCAGGTGGGAAAAGTTAATTTCTATTTCATTAAGTCCAGAGGAAAGTGGTTTCTTTTTTATGGTAAAGTCCCAAAGATACATATGTATCTTTATCAAGCATGTCTAGTGGTTGCTTTATTAAATAACCTGACTTTTAACATGTAGGCTTGTAAGCACTTGCTCTACTACTTATTCTTAAATATCCACAAAGGAAGCAGTGATATCTTATAGCAATAGCAATAGCACATGATAGTGTTTTACAACTCTCTCTAAATGGATTACAGAGTCAGCATATTGCTCCCAGCAATCTGGGTCCTCATTTTACCAACCTTGGAAGGATAGAAGGCTGAGTCAATCTTGAGCTGGTGAAGATTGAACTCCTGGCAGTGAGCAGAAATAGTGTCACCACTGTGCCCACCACGGCTCATATACTGATACGTATCATATACGTATACTGATATCAGAGGTGGTATTCAGCAGGTTCTGACCAGTTCTGGAGAACTGGTAGCGGAAATTTTGAGTAGTTTGGAGAACTGGTAAATACCACCTCTGACTGGCCCCGCCCCCATCTATTCTCCGCCTCCCAAGTCCCAGCTGATCAGAAGAGAATGGAGATTTTACAGTATCCTTCCTCTGGAGTGGGGAGGGAATGGAGATTTTACAGTATCCTTCCCCTGCCACGCCCACCAAGCCATGGCCATAGAACCAGTAGTAAAAATTTTTGAATCCCACCACTGACTGATATGTGACATTCAGTAGTCTGCCCCCCAAATTTTAAAACTCTAACAAACAAAAATATG